GTGTTTTCTGAACACACTTCGACTTTGGGGTGATTTTGGAGGCTTGCTTTGCTAGGGTTTATAGCTTTGGAGGCTTAGGATCTTTGGCTCAAAGCTTTTTACTCAATTTTTCTAGGTTTTCTTCTTCTTCCCTTCTTGTTTCTATAATGACTACTAGCTATTCTTGTAGCTGTAGCTTTTTACTAAACATGTATAGCTAAAGTAGTTTTTCTAAGGTTATTTTGATCTATTGTATGGATTGAGACTTGGTTTAACTATCTCTTTAGTATTAATGATAATGTTCAGTTGTTTTTACCTTGAGCTTAATGCTTCCTTGTGACTAGCCATCATTTGGATTGTTGTGTTGATTGGTTGAAGCTTAAGAAAGTTAAATTAATCCATAAAATTTGGTAAAAACGTGTTAGTCTGGAAATTTAACAGAGTAAATAGACAGTTTGTTGATAGAACAGAGATGTATATGTTATCCTAGCATAGACTAAAATGGGTTTTGGTTTTCAAAGTGCAACCTTTTCAAACAAATGCAAGAGATTGCTATATTTTATTATGATTGCAAAAATTTGGTTTTGACTTGAGAATGCTTAATCAATTCTGCGAACCCCAGCTAACTGAACTTATCATTCATTACTACTTGAGAAGTGATTAATCCAGTTTTATGAAGTATTTTAGTGAAGAATAACCCTAGTCCCTTATTTGTTTCAAAGTCAAGTTGATTTTATATTGCTTTAAATAATTGTTTTCCTAATTTTATCTCACAAACTCTTTTATAACTTTTGTTTCACTTAACCTAATCAAGAACACAACTATGATTTTTAACTCATCTAGCCTTAATCTCTGAGGAAACAATACTTTTTATATTACTTGCGACCTGTCCGCTTGCGGTTTAGCTAATCAGCGAACAACAATAAAAAAATTTATATAGTTCTAGAAGAACTAATAACAAAAGGTTAATATAGTTCCTGAAGAACTAATAACAAAGTCAATATAGTTCTTAAACAACTAATGTAATTCCTCCATTCTTTGTGGGCAGAAAAGGAATTGATAATGAAAATTATGACCTACAAACATATATATCAGAATATTTGTTCATCAAAAGGTCTTAAAATGATAGCTCAATTGGATTGAAATCCATGATTATATCTAAATCAGGAAGCACTTGGATTTCCAAGTCAAAAATATGTTATTAGTCTACTATATGTTATTCACTCTATTTGAAACATAAAAATAAGCAAAATGTTCATATGACTCACACTTGAGGGCGAGATTGTTAGAATACAAGTGTGAATCATGCTGGATGAAATTTGTTATAATTAATGTTCATGTCATTCCTTATATCTCATATTCCTTTTTGAAAAAGGTTCCAGAAGAGTCAGTGACGCTCGACCCTTCATGAGTGCACAAGTTTTTATCATTGAGTAAAAGATAAAAAATAAGGCTCTAGAAGAGGTATATCACGATTTATTATCCTAAAAATAAAATCCATAATTGATAATATATTCCTTGTGAAATATTAAGGTGAAAAATGAAAAATATGACATGGTAACAAGAAGTTTACTAATAATTGAGAATGATTTTATAATAAACCAGAAGTTTTTGCATTTATAGTTTAGCATGATAGGTCAAATCATTCCGGATCATAATGATGCAAAATATCATGAAAAATGTGCATTGTCATTTATTAAAAAGCTAGAAGATTCTTTAAAAATGGTACATAATTCAATAATTTTTATATACTATTTGTTTTCAAAAGAACTAAATAAGAGAACATCATTAGCTATGCTCAAAATCAAATCTGTACAGATTTATAATGTATCAAGTTTATATCTAGGCCCATTTAGACACATATGGACCAAATTAATACCTTATGAGTGAAAGATGCATCTATGAAATGGTCACAGGTGTTTATGATCAGCTTGTAGCCTGAAGTTTGCAAACATATTCAAATAATTGCATTGGGTACGTAAGTTTCTGATCATGAAATCAATATGATTCGCATTGAAATTGCTAGTGATTGTTTCTCATGTTTTTGATGATTATATACTTAGTAAAAACCTTCATAAGTCGATAGACCAGAGTTTGGGAACATAATTCCCGTTTGACTATTGGGATGATTGATTTTATGTATTTTTGCATATAAATGCATCAAGCCAACAATGTATTGTGAATTCTCTCATTATAGTTGGCTTTTGGTAAGAAGCCAAACATTTTCTATCTTAGAATATGCAATATCTATCATTTCACTACAATAATGCATATATATATATATATGGATATTAAAAGTAAAGTTGCGATCAATGTTGGATAAGAATCTCCTTATTCTTGTTTGTTTCTAAATGAAACAAAATAATGTTTCTAAAGGAGACTTATGAATTTGGGAGACTTACACTGCATGTTTCCAATATGAGGGGGAGAAAATGTATAGCTAAAAAAGAGAACACAAAGTGTATTTTCACTATCAAATGTAGATCCTCAAATATAGTAGTATGAACTAGAAGTTCATAAAGTATTACATTCATAAAATATTACTAATATCTACCAGATGCAATTATTGACCCAAATGAGAATTTTTAATTCTTACAATCCAGCTAAAAGTGTTCTTATATTTTAAAACATGCTAAAAGTATGAGAGTATGATCGATTCCAAAAGAAAAGAAAAATGAGCAAATGATAATGATGATCATGTTAAGGAGGCATGAATTACAAAAAAAAAGGTTAAGACAACTATTTGACCCTTGAAGAGGCTTAAGTGTCTAAAAATAATAAAATGATCTGGATATGTTGTGTCATAAAAGAAAAGAGGACTGATAAAGGAATAAAATTGTCGACAATAATTTTACTGATGATACCACGTGATCAAATGAGGATCTTATATATAAATCTGTAAGAAGATATAGATAGAAAAATGGTTGGTCAACAAAAAAGAAAAGATGCAATATAATAGGGATTTATGTATCTCTAGCCCAAGCATTTGAAGTGTAATACTAGTATATCTCATGTAAATAGGCATTTGTACAATAAAAGGAGAAATAAAGTCTTGTGGTGGATTAAATTATATGTCTTATCAATCTAGCAATTTAGTAATAAATGAAGTATTTTTATGTGCATCTTAGAAATATATAATTATAACGTATGACTCACTCTATAGTTAAATTATATGTGAATTCCAGAAGGATTAAAATTTCTAGAAGCATACAATTATGTCCTCAAGAATACTACTCAATTAAGTCTCTATAGGATGCATATGTGGTTAATATCGACTGAAGAAATGATGAAAACATATTCAAACTTGTCCATCTGTGAAAAGATTTAAAATCAGTTTGTTATTAGTATTATTTATGATGATAGCATCGAAACTCCTGATGAGTTCTCAAAAGCTACAAAATACTTAAAGAAATAATCTGAAATGAAAGTTTTGAGAAGAATAAATATGGATAAGTCACATCCATTATGTGGATAATTAAGCCACACTATTATGTGCCCCGATAGCTGTACGATCTTTAAATGTGGACTAAAGATCTATTTAGACATCTAGAAAGTGATGAATAAATACTCAGTCTAGAAGTACCATATTTTAGTGTCACTAGAGCACATATGTATCTATCTAGCCACACAAAACCTGATATATCATTTGTTAATCAGTATGATATAGTTTTTCATCAACAAAAAGATGATGGAGTGAAGTTAAAAACATTCTTCATTACTTTAAGGGTATTGTGGATGTGATGTTATTTTATTTGAAGGTATACAAGACTAATCTTACTAAGCTATGTAGATAAAGTATTCATATTGAGAGATTACAGTATCATCCACTTGTGAGTAAACCATAAAAAGGACTATTTGTCTTGTGATTTTTAGAAAATTATGAAATTAATATTTGATGTTTTTATCTCACTACAATATTTGGAAGGCTTGTTTGTTATATTAAACTTTGCAAGCTCGAAGATGTCAACTAATGTTGGCAAGAGGGGGAGTTGATATATGCTGTACTCTTTTTTCCTTATCTATGATTATGTCCCACTGGGTTTTCCAAACAAAGTTTTTAATGAGGCAGCATTGTATAGTATATCAATGAATAATGCATTCTTTTTCTTCTGTTAGGTTTTTGTCCCACATGGTTTTTTCTAGTTGATATTTTTTAACGAGGCACATTCATATATATTGGACATCTAAAGGGGAGTGTTATGAATCTAATACTCCCTCCGTTCCTTATTATAAGAGACATTTGATGCTTATAGCATGTTCCCATATATAAGAGACACTTAAAAGTTGTCTCTATTTTTTTGTGTTGATTTCCTATTTTACCCCTATTTATTTTGTCTCCAACTCATACTCTCTCTCCCTCCCACTTCTCTTTCTTTTAATAATTTAATTGTTCTCTTTCATACTCTCTCTCCTTATTAATGGGGGCATTGTTGGAAAAAATATTATATTTTTTACACATTAATTGTACTCAACTAATTTTAACTGTTTTTTTTATCAACGTAATTTAGTTATTTGTCTCTTATAATAAGGAACGGAGGGAGTAATATCTTTGTCGATATCCATATATCTCCTATAATCTCTGATGTCTCCTATTATCTCTATATCTTACAATTATATCCTATTATTATGTAATCTGTAGATTCTATCAAAGATGTAAAACTGTGCCTATAAATAGAGGTCATGTATAATGTATTGAGCACTCTTGCATGAAATGAGAAATATTCTTTCTTGTTGATCCTCTCTTCTTTTCTATTATTCTTCTCTATTTCTTCTTTATTTATAACACGATATAATTTATTTCTTATTTTTAGGTTAAATTTGTCCAGACTCTATAATATTAATTAAATGAAAATTTTCCGGATAATATTTCAGAAGGGCATGTCCATGTCACGCAAGTATTGTAATAAACACAATCGATAACGTGACGTAGGAAACAACACCACTTCCGTTCTTCCTCCTCCTTCCTTTCTTCCATAAATGCCGCCTTCACCTTCCACCCACACTACGCCCTGTGATTCCACTTCCCTCTCTCTTCCCCTCTCACACTCTACCCTAAGTATTTGTAAAGGCAGTCGGTGGCGCCGCCGCAGCACGTGGTGGTTCTGACAGTTATCAACGATGATGAAGATGGGAGAAGTTTGTAAAGTGGTTGAGGGGTTGAAGCCGGTGATGCTAATGGTGGTTCTTCAGCTGACATACGCCGGCATCAATGTTCTGTACAAGCTTGCCGTCAACGACGGCATGAACCTCAGAATCGTCATTGCTTATCGCTATATGTTCGCCACTGTTTTCATCGCTCCTCTCGCTTTCTTTCTCGAAAGGTTTATTCATTAATTTCTTTTTACACACACACATGGTACATGGTTTGGTCTGAGGTTGTCTTAATTATCTCTTATGGGTATTTCTAACTTTACAATGCAAGAAAATTATTTTTACTGCATGCATGTAATATATGCTTTTCTTTTAAAGTCATGGTTATAAAATCCTTATTAGAGCATCAAAAATAAAACCTGACTTCCATGGAAGATCCATCAGTGTTCATGACAAAATCACAACATAGTAACATAGTAGTGGTAGAGATATTTATCAAAATCCAACAATAGTTTGTCTATTGAATTAGCTCATAACCTACATGGTTGCCGATTCAAATTTCTTTGCCAATGTCCTTATTGGAAGGCGAGATATCATCATTGAGGAAAATGATTACACACCTACACAAACTTTAATTTAAAAGCTTTGCGGTTCAATGAAATATTATAAAAAGAAAAAATAAGTATTAATTTTTCCCCATCAAATGACTTGTATTTATGGTTAATAATTATTTGCAGGAACAAAAGACCAAAGATGACTTGGAGCATGATGTTTCAGGCATTTCTATGCGGGTTATTTGGGTACGTATCATATCATTAATAATTAACAATGTTCAGGCCATAAATAAAAATAATTGATAATTATGTGGCGTGTTTCTCTGATTATAAGCTAACATTTCCTCCTATGATCCCATTCTTTTTATAAGATATTTGGAGAACAGATTTTTTGTCCTTTTTTATAAAGCACCGCATGGAATATTATTACATTTTTGTGATATTGCTCTCGTTCAATATCGATGGTTAATGTTTATTAAGTTTGGCTCTTTAACTTTTCAAAAAATGAGTATAATAAGGATTTTTTTTAATTAATTTTGGACACGGTTAATACGTTTATAGCCTATCCTTAATTTCAGGCGCAAAATGTTCGAAGTGACTTGTTAACAATGCTATGAGGAAATAACTAGTTTAATATATATTCCTTTTAATGATAAGAGTGTCAATTAAAATTAAAAGAAAAGGAAAAAAAGAAATTGATAACTGAACTATCGCTATTTTCTCCTTTTTCATGATGTTGAAAAGGCATATAAATATAATCGTAGTGATACATGACTCTTTCACCACCTTTCCATGAAATATGAAGTATTTTCTAGACCTCAAATTAATTAATTATATCCTTTTATATTGCTTCTCTCTGTCACCTACCATTCAAAGTAATCTTTTTCTTTTCTTTTTTGTTTTTAAAAGAAAAGGTGGACATATTATTTTACTTTTTCCCAATCAAGTCCAAACGATTGCGCATCTGATAGACTCTTTCTATAAATAGCTAATTACTTATTCCAAATTTTTTATTATTATTCCCATGTATAATTACGTGACAATCAATATACTTCCATTACATTATTCTTTCTATACATAATTATTCAGATAATGTATTATTAGCGGTTTCAAACTTCTCCTTTTTCCTTCCTATTCTCTTCGCTCCTTTTTCTTTTTTAACTATTGGATTAACATATTTCAATGGTTGAGATTTTAATTTTTATAAACTATTTATAAAAAATTTAAAGATATTTAGTGCATTTTCAAACCATTAAAATTAATTTTTAATAGAGTTTGTAATTATATTTTTTTATTTTTAAAATTTAATATTTTTATTATAGTTTTAAAAAGATTTAAATTTTAACCATTAAAATATTAATTTAATGATTAAAAAAAGAAGAGGAGTGAGAAAAGTAACATAAATTAACTGATATTACGATATTAATTATTGCGTAGGGGAGTTATGTCACAAAACTTATACTTGGAATCATTGGCTTTAACTTCTGCAACATTTGCTTCGACAATGGCCAATCTTACTCCAGCCATTACCTTTCTCATGGCTGCCTCCTTCGGGTGAGTTTCCATGAATTTGTTTCTTTGTTAAATGGATTAAGTTATATTCAACACCTCAAAGTATATGATCAAGTGTATCCAACACCTTAAAATATTTTGTGGTGTATTCAGTATCTTGAAATATTTTTCAAATGTATCTAGCATCCTAAATTTTTTTTTTTACCTTAATATTGGATGCACTAAAAATATTTCAAAATACTGGACATATTCAAAAAAATATTTTAATGTACTGGATGCACATGAGAAAATATTTTAGGGTATTGGATGTAACTTAACCCTTATTAAATTTATAGTTTTTTTCATTATTATCTTTTGGAAATGAAAACTGAAAATGATTTGTATTCAGATTGGAGAGGCTGAGTTTAAGAACAGTAGCAGGACAAGGGAAGATGATTGGAACACTAGTGGCAATTGGAGGGGCCATGGTTCTAACATTCTTCAAAGGCACAAAAATAAAGACGGGCTCCTTCCACGTCACCCTCATGCATTATCGTGAGGGACACGCGGCATCATCACTGGCTCCCTCTGGTATTAAGGCTCTCTTGAGTGCCCTTTGTTCTCTTGGAAGCAGTGCCACTTATGCTTTATGGCTTATCATTCAGGTCTTTTCTCTGAACATTATTCATTAATTAAACTAATTAAACTCATTTAATTAATTAATTATCTACTTGTATTAAGCTTATTTTGGTTCTTGCAATTAATACAGGCTAAGATGAGCAAGACTTACCCATGTTATTACTCAAGCACAGCTCTAATGAGTTTCATGGCAGCAATCTTATCAACTGCGTTCGCTTTTGCTTTCGAGAGTGACTTGAATCAATGGAAGTTTGGTTGGGATGTTAGGCTTCTTACGGTGGCCTATGCGGTACGAAATTTGATGAATGATTGTTTCATAACTTGTAAAACCAAATGTTGTTCTTTATGAATTTTATATTTCATTTTTGGTTAAATTCCAATTTTTTGTTCTCATCAATTTTGACAATGAATGTAGGGAATTATCGTCTCTGGAATAATGGTGGTGGTAATGGCATGGTGTGTGGACATGAAAGGCCCTCTTTATGTGGCCGCTTTTAATCCTCTTCTCCTTGTCTTTGTGGCTCTAGCTGGTTCCTTTATGTTGGATGAGAATCTATATCTTGGAAGGTATGCTTTCTCTCCACATCCATGCACACACGCTCATATATACACCACAAGAAAAAATTGACTTTCGATGCCAATTTGTTGTCACCTTAAAGTTCCTACCTTAATAGCTGTCGCTAAAAGTTTTCTACCTCATAATGAGAGTCATCACCAAAAATAGTATATTTCAGTGGTGACTCTTTTAAATTCTAACGGCACTAAAATAGGATGGTAATGAAAATCGTCACTTAAAGTCCTTTTCTTGCAGTAATATACAATTTTTTAATATTTTATTTTATTTTTTAGAGTTAAGGTGTATCCAGAACCCTGAAATATTTTTTCAGGTACATCAAATATTTAAAAATATTTTTTAAGTACGTCTAACATCCTAAAATATATATATATGTTTTGCTTTGGTGCTGGATATACAAATTTTTTTTTTGAGATACTAGATGCACCTAAAATACTTCACAGTACTTGATGCACTTGAGAAAATATTTTGAGGTGCGAAGTGCACCTTAACCTTATTTTCTAAAGTGAATTTTGAAATCTCTTTTGGCCATGTACATACAATTAAGTAGCATACAGAATTGCACATGCACATTATATTTGACTTGTATATGTTTAAACGACTCACTTTGTATCATTGAAAATTTGCAGCATAATAGGAGGGTTGTTAATAGTGTGTGGACTATATATGGTTCTATGGGGAAAAGACAAAGAGATGAAGAACATGAAACAACTTATTCCATCACACAGTAGCCTTCCTGAAATCCTTGTGAGATCATCAACAGATGATAAAAGCAACCCTAGTAGCAACAATCCTGAGGTTGAATTGGTTAATGATCGTGATAATTCAAACATTCATCAAAAATTGCCAGTGAAGTAGTATAATGCAATATAATGGCTTGATGAATATAAAAGGTATTGAACCCACATGATGAAGCCGCCTATGTGATCCTTTTACAAAGGCCTCCGCTCTTTTTTGGTTGTTTAGAGAGGGGTAAAAGAAAATGGTGTTTGGAGTATATGCGAAAAGCTTGATCAATTATGTTGATTTGTGATCCTAAATATGGAAGGAACTTAATTATATATGCTGCGATCTATATGCAAAGATCCAGAAATAATAACAATTTATCTCTGAGCGTAAATTGATTAATTATTTATTGAAAAGCACGGTCAGTTATGCCAAATTTTCATCTCAAACAAGGGATTCAATGTTTTGACGTGTACCCACTAAACAATATACTCATATTTCAAATGTTAGAGAGGGAATCTTGTAACACAAGAAAAGATAATCATTAAAGCTGCACTTGAATTTAGTGTCATTTGTTTATAATCGCACGGTTTTAAACCGCGGCCTTGTTATTAATCCAGGAGCCTCAGCACTTAATTATCATATATTACCTCTTCCATTCGTTAATATAAAAGCTCATTTGATTTTTATTTTGGTCTTACATATAAGATCCTAATTTACTTTGTCTTTCATTTTTTTTTTTTCCAAGATAGTCCTTGTAGTAATACTAGTTCTAGCCAATATACTTAATTAATAAGAATACTTTAAGAAAGACAATATATATTACAAATAATTAACTAATTTTTTTAATCTACTCAAATTAATCAATTAGCTCATGTATTAAGGATCAGAAGTAGTATCCTTTTTGTGATGGTTTAGAGGAAAAGTACAAATGTGTTTGAAATATGTCAAAAGCATGTTCAATTATGCTAAACTTTAGTCCCAAATATAGAATGTAATTATGGGTTAAGATCTATATGTTAAGATCAAATGTTAAACAGCATCCAGTTTCCTAAAACCTGAATTCCGACCCGGGCCCAAACATTCCGGTTTCAGACGGGTTTGCTTTTAGATAACCCCAACCGTTGCCATGGAACCATCGTCATGACTCCAATCATTGCCTCATTGTTTACCACCATCATCATTAGTCGCTGCACCGCTATCACCATTATCAGTCATTATCGTCACTGACCACTATTGTTGCCATCGCTCATTGACCACTGTTGGACAACGTTACCAGCCATCACCATTATTTTCATACTAAAAGAAATCTTTTTCCATAAAAATGAATATAACATAACAGTTTTAAATGAATTTATTTAATTTTAAATGAAGATTTTTTTCAACAAGTTAATTTTTCTATACATGAACAATGTCATTATATAGTTATAAAATAATATATGTTAATACTAAGCATGGCATACGATTAAAACTTGATCAAGTCTAATCAAATAAAACCTTATACTATTAGACTATGAATACGATTCTATTTGAGGTACTATCAAACATTAATTGTAGGAGATTCAAATATTAGCTCATCATGTTGTGGGGGGTTGCTTAATTACGAAACAAAGTGGGACTCATCAAATTAAAAGTAAAATGGATGATTGCCACCGTTAACCAAAAAGACATTTTATTCTTTGTTTAGAAAAGTTCATATGTATTTTTACATCCAAACAAAATTTGTGATGCCAAGTGCCTATTTCGTAAATGCTCAACGAATTGAATAGATTTGTATCTTAACCGTTGATATTATCTACATTTTGTAAGCCATTGTTTTTTAAAATCTCTCAATTTGAATTGGCCCTGCCTTCATTGTACTTGGGCACTCAAATATGCCTAGAAAGATTCGTGTACATGATAATTAATTATTCAAGCGTGCTTGAAAGGATTAAACTAAGATTCAAATAATTTAAACAGTTTACACATTTTAAATCCAACTCTCTCTCATACAGAGCAAGATAATTTAAGTTTGATAGTATTTATTATTATAACATTATTATGACGTAATTATTCTAATATTCAAGGAATTTCGTTATTATAAATTCTAGTTACTATAGTAATTAAATTATAATTAATAAAAAATGTGGTGTATTATAATTATTTTAATATTATAATATTATTGTGAATAAATTATAATTATTTCTTGTTTTCTAAGTCTTCAATATAGGATGTTACACTTATTATGATTAAGAAAAACGGGTAACTTGTGGCCAAAAAAAAAACATGTAACTTAAGTTGGCTCCAAGTTGGTCGAGAGCTTAAAAAAATTAAGTACTTCGTCTTCAAACCTGAAAAGTTACTTTTGTATGATTTTTTGATTATGTTAATAATGAAATTAATTAACTGGACCGTCTTGTTATTTGTTGCCACCAAATTGACCGTATTATTATATTCCCCATATTTTAAACTAAACCTAAAGTTAAGTGAAATAAAGAGTAATTTACACTTGATCTTAGCCAAAAGGCCGAGAAAGGTATTAGTAATTGACTCTAGTTTAATTGAATATCTTGATTACTACACTATATTTAACATAAACTTTAAATAAAATCACAATTCTCCTCATTAATTACCCTATAAGGAATTATACTAAGGAACAAATTTTTTCTCCTACAAATGGAGTGGAAGAAGATCCGAAGAGCACAGGCATATCATCAAGCAGGTGAGCCTTTTTCCAGTCCATACGCAACGGATGATGTCATCACATGGGAAACAACAGCACTTCCCTTCTTCTTCCTTTGAAAGTTGTAATTTCGTTTCCGCCATAAATACCTCCACTTTTTTGTGCCCATCAAGCTCTCCATAAAGACCCTCTTTCTACTTCCTCCCCCCCCCCCCCAAAAAAAACAAAAACTTCAAAGCTTCAATAAATCCTTTGTTTTCTACGTACTCTCACATATCACCAAAACCTAGCTAGCACAAAAATTAAATGCCCTCTTCATTGCCTTCTCATCACAGAATTACGGCCAAAGTCAAAGGGAACTGGATATGTAAGTGTACCCTCAGTTCTATCAGCAAAACAAACAGTTTCAGTTTTGTATAAGTCGAGCCATGGATGCACGAGGGAGATAATTCTCTACTTTAGTTGGCCGTGGCAATCTAAAGATATAGGAAAATGTGTTAAATTAGTATGAATTTGTAAGGGTTAAGAGAGCCATATTATTTACATATCATAAACGATACACAATTCTCCTCAACCTTTATACATATTGTTTTAACCATACAATTCATGGAAGCATGCACAATTTTGCTTTTATATACCTCTAATATTTTCAACATATATTGATATAAATGCAATTTTTTTAAAAACAATTAATTCTGTTGGACCTAGCCTGATCCACCCTTGGTACACTACTAGAAAAAAGACCTTTAACGTCGCAAACTAACGGCGGTTCAGCAGAAAAACGAAGTGGAAAAAAACGCGGTGGCATTTTTGTAAATAAGTTGAAGGGGTTATGAATTTCCACGGCGGTTCTTTAAAGAACCGCCGTGGAAAATATTTTTAACGGCGGTTCTTTAAAGAACCGCCGTTAAAAACACTTTCCACGGCGGTTTTATTGAAAACCGCCGTGGAAAGTGTGTTCTTCTACCCACTTTCGGCTGCTTGACTCCTCACTTTCTTTCTCATTTCTTCAGTGCGCCGTGGTCCCCCTCTGCCCCACCACCGTAAAACTGCCATTACCGGCCATTCCCGCCTCTAACCCACCGTTTAAACTCCTCCATTGAGCCCTTGGAGCCTTGCCGCCGTGCGCCGCACTCCGCCGTGGTCGACTGCGCCTCCCATTTCCGTCGGTTCTTGCTCAGCCGTGGTCCGTTGCTGAAAACCGGTCGTACCCTCCACTATCTAACCGAAGACCGGTCCGTTGCCGCCGTCCGCCGCCGTCCGCCGCCGCTCACTTCGCGTTTGAAGCTTCTCTGCTCTGTGAGTATCCTCTTCTTTCATTCTTTTCAATTTTTCTTGGTTTGTTGAATGTTTTAGCCATGAAAATCTGTTATATATGAAATGGGTTGTTAGTTTTACATTGTGGTTAGCTTCTATGGTTCATTTTGCATTTTTATGTGGTTGAACCGTTGATTGGTGTTAATTGGTAGGCATTAGATGTGAGAAAACCTTAATTCCTTTTTACATACTGTATTAGAAATATGTTAAAATGTTTGGAGTTGATTAATTGTGAAGTTTTTAAATTTTTTTATAATTTTTTGATATTTATTTCGAATTTTTGATAATTTTTTGTAATAAATATAAGAATTTAGTGATAAATAATCTGTAGTTATTTTGTGTTTTTTTTCCTTCGTTATGAATTTTGATTGATAGTAAAGTATTGTTTAAATAATTTGTAGAACAATGGATCGTAGTTGGATGAAAGCTAGGAGAATTAGCAAGGAATATGAGGATGGGGTTGAAAAATTTCTTGAGTTTGCTCAGAGAAATGCCCCTAGTAAAGGAGATGGATTGTACTATTGTCCTTGTGTCAAATGTTTAAACAATAGTCGACGGAGTATTTCTGAGATAAAAGAGCATCTTATCTGTAATGGGATAAATTTGAGGTATACAAATTGGATATGGCATGGAGAAATTAGAAAGACTACACTGTCTGCAAATGAGAAGGTTGTTAATGAAGACTTTGGTGATAGAATTTCGGATATGTTTCGTGATATAAGGTCTGAATCCTCTACACAGTTTTCTTCCACCTTTGAAACTTTGTGTAGTGATGCAGAGACACCTTTATACCCGGGGTGCAAAGATGATTACACAAGATTGACAACCGTATTGAAACTGATGAATTTGAAGGCAAGAAATGGTTGGACCGATGCTAGTTTTACGGAATTGCTTGAATTGCTGAGTGATATTCTTCCCAAAGGGAATTCACTTCCGAAACGAATGTATGAGGCAAAAAAGATTTTGTGTCCGATGGGTTTGGAATATGAGAAGATACATGCGTGTCCTAATGACTGCATATTATTCAGAAATGATTATGAAGAGTTGAATAAGTGCCCTAAATGTGGGACTTCAAGATACAAAATGAAGAAAGATGATGGTGATTATAATGAGATGACCAAAGGTTCTCCTTTAAAGGTTCTGTGGTATCTTCCAATAATACCACGATTTAAGCGTCTATTTGCTAATGCCACAGATGCAAAGAACTTGAGATGGCATTTTGATGAGAAAATATGTGATGGAAAGCTTCGTCACCCAGCAGATTCTCCTCAATGGAAAACAATAGATCAAAAATTTCCTCAATTTGGTAGCGAGCCAAGAAACCTTCGGCTAGGGCTTTGTACGGATGGAATTAACCCATATGGTAATCTTAGTAGCACACACAGTGCTTGGCCAGTGCTCCTCGTAATTTACAACTTGCCTCCTTGGTTATGTATGAAAAGAAAGTATATCATGCTATCTTTGATGATCTCGGGGCCAAAACAACCGGGAAACGATATTGATGTGTATTTGGCACCTTTGATTGAGGATCTGAAGAAATTATGGGAGGAAGGTGTTGATGTGTTTGATGCATATAAACAAGAGACCTTCAA